ATAAATAAATAAATAAATAAATAAATAAATAAATAAATGCTGAGTTTGGTGGTACATGCCTCTAATCCCAGCAATTCAGCAGTTGGGATGCAGAGGCAGGTGGAACTCTGTGAGTTCAAAGCCAGTCTGGTCTATGTAGCAAGTTCTTGGCCAGCTGAATCACTGACACCAGGGAAGACACTGGGCAAGAAAGGAAAGCATTCCTAGATTGCTTTAAGATTCAGCTGTGAGGTGTTCATGGGGTCAACTGGTTGCCGATCTAACCCAAGCCACCAGATGGCTATTCTGGAAGACAGGCAGGGCATATTCAGAACTGCAGCTGGTCTAAGAAAGCCAAGGCTTCATCTTTCAGAGCAAGAAGTGCACAATGTAACAAACTCAAGAAAAAGCTTCATAAGCAGGTTATTCAGAGTTGGTGAGAAGGCTCATCGCACGTGTGGGACAGCTATGGGAAGCAGCGTTCCTCCATGGCCTGTGCTTCAGCTCCTGCCTTCAGGTTCCTGCCCTGAGCTCCAACCTTGGCCTCTTTCAGTGATGAACTGTGTCCCGGGAGATATAAGCCAAATAAACCCTTTCCTCCCCAAGTTGGTATTGTCAGAGTGTTTGTCACAGCAATTGAAAGCAAACTAGAACATTGGGTAAAGGTGGCTGCTGCTGAAACTGACAACCTGAGTTCTACCCCTGGGACCCTCTTGGTGGAAGGAAAGAACTTGACTCCTGAGACTCATCTTCTCACCTTCACACCCATGACTCCCACAAATAAACAAATTCAAGTAAACATATATATTATTCAGAGTGCCAAGAGATTTGAATGTGGACGTCTTGAGGTATGGAAGTAGTGAGGAAAACATATTTTTCATTCCTGTAGGGCTATTTGACTCTTTAAAATAGGCACTGACTGCTCTTGCAGAGGGCCAGGGTTCGATTCCCAGCACCCACATGGTGGCTATGAACCATCCTTAACTCCAGTTCCAGGGGCATCTGAAGCCCTCTTCTGACCTCCGTGGCACTGCACAACACGGGTGCACTCACATACATGCAAGCAATACACTCATACACATAAAATAAAAATAATAAATAAAATATTTTTTTTTAAAGTGGATGTGTGTAGGGAAGACAGGCTGAGGAGACAGCCCAGTGGGTAATGTGCTTGCTGTCCAAGTTGACCAATTCCTACAGGTTAACCAATTCCTGCAAGTCGTCCTCTGACTTCCACATGCCACTACCCCCGTTACACCAAATATATAAAATATAAAAAATTACAACAAAAATAAGGTGGACAGTGATAGAGTAAGAAATCTCTATCAGTCTCTGGCCTCCACACCAGCCTGGATGGGTAAACATACCTACACATACCACATATGTGCAAAAGGAACTCTTTTCCATTTTTTCAGAAAGCTTACCGCGGTCTACACACCGGCTGCTCTTGCGGAGAACCTGAGTTCAGTTCCTAGTACCCACATGGCAGCAGCTAACAACCTTCCATAACTCTAGTTCCATGGGATCCAATGCCCTCTTCTGGCCTCCATGTGCACTGCACATACCAGTGCACTTACATAGAAGCAGACAAAACTCATACACATAAAATAAAAAATAAATTAAAAATTAATTTAAAATAAAAAATATCCAAGCCAAGTCAACAGAGGTTATTTCTAGTGATGGGCTGACAGGTCCTTTACATTTCTTCTTTTGCTTTCATATATTCTGAAAAAGTATGCATATGGGTCATAAATCAAATAGCCAGAGGTGTTCCCCTTCATGCTGGTCCAAACCCACCCTGCAGAAGCCCCATCTCAGTCACTTGAACTTCTGTTTGCTTTCCCCAAGCAGACTAACCTGCCAGCTCCTTCTCTCACACAGCAAATATTTGTTGAACTCTTTAAAGCCAGGCCCTTCAAGTTGATTCCAACACTCTTAGCTATTTATTAGGGCCCCTGATGAGCAACCACCTGGGAAGTGAGCTAAACCAATACTTTTCAACCCAGTCCTCTAACTTTCATACCGGTTAGGCTGCAATTCCACAAATGCTTCCAAGGGTCTCTGAGGTGGAGGAGGGCTCATTAGACAGAAGTCAGGGAAGCCCCTTAAACAGGAAGGAACAGAGACCAGGGAAACCACAGGCCTGGGTTCGAATCCCAGCTCCATCCTCACAAGTGAACTTCCCTTCTCTAGGTCTCTGCTCAAATGGGCTTACTTGCAACCAAGTTCACAGAGGAGGGTTGTAGGGACTACAAGGGAGCAGAGTCATTTAAAGGACTTGACAACCATGGCACAGGGTGAAGACAATAGACAGTGACCGCCACTAGCAGTCAACACAACTCAGGAGGAAGGCCTGGTTTCCAAGGTAGAGGAGGCTGCGCAGGCCCTGCCCTCTTCCCAGGCACGTGCCCAGCCCCCACCAGGATGTGCGCCGGAGGCCTTTAGGCTCGCAAGCTGAGACCCTCAATTTTATTCTGGGACTCTTTCCTGATGCATCTCAATTAGACTACAGGAAGATAATTAGGAAAATGACATTTTTCTTTCTTTCGCAACTACTATTAGGAAAGTTTTTAGAGCTGGGAGTGCGACTCAGTGGTAGAACACTGGCCCAGCACGTGAGATTCCAGGTTCCATTCCCAGCGCTGAAGGGGGTTGGGCTGAGAAAGCTTTGTTTTCAGGGACCCATGCACATGAAGGTCAGGTGACGGAGGCCCCGGGTATCCCCGACACCCAAGATCAATAAACGCCCACCAAGCATCCGGCTCCCAGGATGTACCACCAGCCCCAAAGGAAGTCAGCAAGCTGGATACTTCCCCAACACATCCTAAGGTTCGCGACGCTTTTTCCCCAAAGAGGGCCCAAGGAAAGAGGACCTCGATGGGAGTTTTTCACTTTGCAAAGAAAGTCTAGGCTGAGCCCAGGAGGGTTCCCGGAGCCCGAGCGAGTACCGGTGCAGGCTTGGTGGGCGGAGCGGGGCGGGCGGGAGCTCGCGGGGTCCACCTGCCTCCCTCCGCCTGTCCCCGCCAGACACTCACGATCTCGGCGACGATCAGGAGTCCCGGCAGCGTTCGGAGGAACTCTCGGTCGTAGGCGAAGCTGCTGCTGGTGGTGGAGAAGTTCTCGGCGAAGGAGCTGGTGGTGGTGGTGACCGTGTGCGAGCGCGCGCGCTGCGGTTCCTCCATCGTCGCGCCCTGGCCCGGGTGGCCCAGGTCCCCGGGGATCCCACCTCCACCCAGCGTGTCCCTGGGCCTGGGGTCGCGGACAAGGGACAGGGGATCGCCGCCGGCGGGGGGGTGGGACGTGCCCGGGTGGCCCCTGGAGTCAGTCCTGGCACCTCGTGGGTCGCGTGAGTGTTCCAGTTCGTGGGCGCGCGGGCTTGGGATCTGCGCGGGGACCCGAGAGCTGGACTGCCGGCGTGCGGTGGCTGCAGGCGGCCGGGAAGACGGGGAGGGGGAGGGGCAGGGAGGGGCGTGGACAGGGCGGACGAGGGGCGGGCACACGGGGACCGCCCCTCGGGGGCGCCGCCGCGCGGCCACTGCACCTGTCGCCGGGGACCAAGCGGCTGCTGGGACGCGCACGCAGGAGGGCTTTCCCGGTGCCACGGTCCGGTCGAACCCTTCGTCCGAGCTCCCGCCCTGATCAGGCTCCGCCCACCTCGGGCCACCAGCTTCGGACCTGCTTCCTTCCACCTGGTCCTACTCGGGCAGCCGGGCCTCTTAAGGAAACCCAGGCTCGGGGTTCCAGGACACAGAGAACCAGGCAGCGGGGGGAGGGAGGCTGGAATACTGACCCCTCCGGACCTTAGACTCGAGATCGATGAGAGGCCGCCTGGATGGCCCCGGGAGGGGCCCCCACCCCCTCCGCTGAGGCCGTCACCAAAGCCTGCTGTTATTTCCTGCCCCTCCTGTTGGAAACAATTTGAGGAACCAACTTAATCTCTGGGCTGTGAGAGCAAGACGCTCCAGGCGCTCTCCAGGACTCTGACCCGGACCGATGGAGTCTGGGCTGAATGGGAAGAGGGGAGACGTTTGGGGTCCCTGGTCAAGATTGTGTTGGTGTGACTGTCGGTCGCATCACCCTTAGAGAGGGAAAAAAAAAAACTTTCAAAAACAGTTTGAAAGGTACCGTCTGTGCAAAGTACTTTTCTGGGGTCGGGGGGGAAAAGAGGAGCACGCCTCCATCAGTGGGCAACCGGGTACTGGTCAGGCGAGTCCTAAGCAAGGGTAGCTACTAGTGTTCATGGGTGATATGGCGTTAAACTAGTGGCTCTGTTTTGCTGGGCCTCAGTGGTGTCGCCTATATTTTAAAACAACAGAAAAAGATAAAATCTTTGTTGGATTTTGGACTTGTGGCCAAAGAGACCAACTTACTTCCCTGGGCCTGTGCCTCTCCTGTGTCAAGAAGAATGATAATTTATCTGCATCTACTGAGGGGGAAGGAAATAATCTGGTCCGAAATGCAGTGTAGCCTTGAATTCAAAGTGAAGACACTCCCACCTCTATTCCGAAACAGGTTTAAAAAGCAGGAAAACGCATCTTATCAGTTTAGATGAAAAGAGAGCACAAATGACAAGCTAATAGGACCAGTTTAAGCCTAGAGACTCCTAGGACGATTTCTGGGAGTTAAGAATTCCAAAGGTGTGGCAACGATGCCAGTGCGGTGGAGGCTCATACCAGTAATCCCAGCACAAGGAGCCTGGAGCAGGAGAGTTGCTTCTAGTTAGAAGCCAGCCTGAACTACAGAGTGAGATCTTGTCTCAAACAAACAGTTTGAAGTCAGCCTGGGCTGCATAGGGTTTGAGGGCAGTCTGGATTGCAGAGTGAGACTGTGCCCCCCTCCCAAAAAAGAAAGATGGCAGAAATGAGCATTTGGAAAAATTCCATCCATGTACCCATATACAATTGGTAAGCATCTCCGAGGTGAGTAAATTCAATAAAACTCTTCCTTGGAGCAACAGTTCTCAAAGTGTGGTCCCTGGACCAGCACCTTCAGCATCTCCTGGGAACTTGCCAGAAATGCAAGTTCTCAAGCTGCACTGCAGGCCAACCCGCTGAATAGAAACTAAGAGCATCGACATTGATGGAAGCTGACATCTAGAGCTGCTGGCTAATGCTGCTGGGGAGTAAGAGACACAGGGATCTGACAGAGTCTAAGGAAACAGGCATGACATGTAGCCAATACCTAAGACAGGAAGTCTAGACAATTCTATTTCCATAGTACAAAGGACAATCCCATTCCAAAGCCCTTGGGGCTAGACTGCTTTTCTTTAATTTAAAAAGTAAAATGGGCTAGAGAGATGGCTCAACCATTAAGAGCACTGGCTGTTTTTCCAGAGAATCTGGGTTCTGTTTCAGTACCCACATAGCAGCTAACAACTGTCTGCAACTCCAGTTCCAGGGAACCCAACACCCTTTTCTGGCCTCTGTGGGCATTGCATGCACTGGTGCAACTTAACGTGCATGCAGGCAAGACATTCACACATATAAAATAATAAATTTTAAAAATTTAAAAACAAGAAAAAAAATGAATATTCCATTTTCTTTTTTGTGTGTGGTACATTTGTGTGTGGTATATGTGACCACCTGTGTCAATGACAAGACCAGCCCATATTGAAACAGGAGCAACAAATCCTACTTCTGCACAGAGGGGGCCTCACAGAATTGGACCATCTCCTACCCCACAATGTGAGATAAGGTTGATATATAGCATTAGTTAGCTATAACTGATTAGGTTTCCCACCAACTTTATTTTTTGCAAACTTAAGAAACTTTTGGAGTTCTTCAGCTTTGATGGTTTCAGAATTGCAGAGAAGCAGTTGTATACAGTTGCTTGGAACTTGAGTATGCCTTTCCAATTGCTGCTCAAACTAGGGTTCTCGTCTACCTGGAAGCCTTCCTCCATGAATATCCTTATCCGTCTTTTCTTTTCAGCTTCCTGTCAAAATTATTATCCTGAAATGTCAGGCTATGGTGCCATGAGTAAGGGTCCCCATAATGTCCTTCTGACTGCCTCTTTAGTCCCTTCCCTAACCACTCTAGAATCTTCCTGTGCCAGTCCCAAGTACATTTTTTCTTAGCTTAAAAATGATTTTTTGAAGTCAAGTGTGGTACACGCCTTTAATCTCAGCACTTGGAAAGCAGAGGCAGATAGATCTCTGTGAGTTCGAAGCCAGCCTAGTCTGTACAGGAAGTTCCAGGACAGCTGGGGCTACAGGGAGACCCTGTCTCAAAAATACCAAAAAAAAAAAAAAAAAATCCCAAACAAAAGTTAAACAGAATATACTGCAAAACTTTCATTGACATCAGTTATTTCTCTGAAGAGGGGACAGA